CTGTACATAGAAATAAGAATCTTTGCAGATGTGTCATATTTGACGGTGTTTTTTGTGAATGTTCGTAAGTTAACTTACTCATCGAAGGAGTTCATTACTAGTCGATCATTATATACCATTCGATAGCACTTTTCAAGGACTACATTTACTATGTTCGAATTCAAAAAAGCTCACTTGTCGATTTTTGCTCAAATTTCCGCCTGCATACCCACTGTGCCCTCCCCTCTTTTTGGGCTTTCCGTAGAAATGCTATGGAATAAACACTAAAAGTCACGAAGGCTTCATATTTTCAGAACTGCTTGGAAACTCAGTGGAACATGTTTTCGTTTTTGTTTCAAGTTTCTAACTATTGCCCTTCATCAGTTTTCCAGAAAACTCGGTTTTTAACTGTGTCACATTACGACCCACCTTGAATTTCATCTGAACGAGCTAAAAATTTTACCAGAGGTACTCAAGGCCATAGCATAGAGGTAGAATTTTGAAATTTTATTTAGACCTTTCTTCATCGAGTTATAGGAAAAATACCGAAAAAAACTTTCAGAAACCAAGTTTTTAAATTTTGGAAACCGTATAACTAAAGTGAAGAAAAATCTAAAATAAAATTCCAAAATTCTACCTCACTAATTCTACGCGCTATGACCTTGAGTACCTCTGCTAAAATTTTTAACTCGATCGGATGAAATTTAAGGAGGGTCGTAATGTGATACAATGAATACCCTTAAGGTTTAGATTATATAAGGAAAGCAGGAAAAGAAAACAGCTTTTTTCATGTTCAATACTACGTTTTTGCTTCATAAAATTAAAACAGAAAGTTACAGCAACATAAATCGAGCATTTCGGTCTAAATAGCGAAAACAGAGGTCAGAAAATTCGAACATAAGCGGGTGGTTTTAAAGAAGCGTTTCGAGCTTTTGTCGCGTACGTAATATAGAGGAGCAAATAATATTCAGTTCAATGAAAACATAAAACTTGAACTGTTAAATCGATATTCAATGATGTATGTTAGACACATTTTACCTTTGATTGACGATCTGTTTTGATTGGAAAATATTCTGTCATTTTGCATAAGCAACATTGGTTTATTTGGAGATTTGAGGCATTTTGAGATAAAATAGGTTTTGTGCGTTTTCTTCAATCTCATTTTCATAGAAATGCAATTACCTTCGGATAAGTCGCTGTTCTGTGTTACTTCTGTTTTAGAGAAAAAGCTAAATCACGTTAATAAGCTGATAATATCGTTGATTCTAGTTGATTTGATAGATTTTTTCTAAAATTGTGGTACTGGGAAAACCGAGACAAGTTAACACGCATAGTCCAACATCAGCGGCAACTGCTCGTTTAAAGCAAGGATCTGTTCTGTTTGATACTGTCGGCCATTCGCAAAGCCTTTATGATGAAATACTTTCAACGACACGAGATACAACAGTGACTGTCTCCTCAATCGTTGGCGATTTTTTATTACAAAATAATGTTTTGAAGCAAGCTCAAGGCACATAATTTATTTTTCATTCCGAAGTCGGACGCTCCATTACTAATGATTTACCCACAATAGCTCTAGACATCGAACCAATGTTACATACCATCACCGAATAGCCTGTACTTCACAACCTCGTTGGCACCCCAGAGCTACTTTATACTAAGAATATCGTGGAAAGTAACCGAAATTCGACGTTATATTCGATTGCAGAGCATCGGTGCCAGGCATAGACAGACATGCTGATAAATAGCCTCAAAAGAGAAAAATAATGTAAACCCATACATGTATAATATGATAGCTCAACCAAAAGCATCGTTTGTAAATACTGCTAGTACCCAAGAGAATATTCGTATGTATACAATTGTTGGTGCTCGTCGAACGGCACCCCTGTTGCAAAATCCAGATGTTGTTATATCGACACGAAATAAACAACACGCTGTGATCAAATCGCACATTGTTACCATGGAGAAAAGTGCAAAAGTATACCGTATTGTCGGTCGACCTGCTCATATTTCAGATTTATCCCTACCAGTACAGGAGCAACAGAAAGAACGGGCAAGATCGATTTCATCAGTTATAATTCCACTGCGCCGACACACTTCTATTTCAGACAAAAAAATGCCATACACAGAGATTCACCATTTTCAACCTATAAAAGAGCTGAAAGAGACTATCTCATATTCCGTAGGAGGTCATTATGCAATGAAAGGTGAAAAATTTTTACATAAAGCTGCCATTGTGTAACTGCCTTTCTTTTATATTTCAGCTCCCGTGCGTAACTCAAAGAATATGATCATTTTAGTGGACAGAAAACAACCAGAAAGGAACACCGTTGCCGTCATCCGAAAACAGCAACGTCCACAACTTCCTTCTGAACCAAGATCAACTGAAAAAGAACGACCACTGTATGAATTTCGAGAGCAAAATCCTGCACAGCCTAAAAAGCAGAATTACGTGAACAAGAGGTGGGCAGAAGAACCGTATTCACCTAGGATGAAACGAAATCCGACACAAAGAGCTCAACAGGACTATACCCATCCGTCGAAAGCGGGTGTAAGTGTCAGAAACGTGTATGAGATAATCTTTAATGAATATTTTCTTATTCCTAGGAACGTTTACACATCGGTACTCATCCACCCTTCGACTATATCGATGGAACACATGCTGATAATAGAGAAATACACCAGAAGAGATTACGCTACGATCGAGTATCCCGCCGGCGCGCAATTTGGCTTCCAGTTTGGACATAATATTTTTTCATCGCGTAATTATAAAGGAATTCTTATCGGTAAATTCGGTCGATAATGCTCCGAATTATTCACCGCATATGATTAATCATTCTCTTTCTTAAATTTTTGAAATCATTCTTCAACTTGCTCTACAAACATTTACATTTTACCGAGTAGTGACTAAACTAACATAATATAGAATGAAATATTTTTTTATAACTTTACAGTACGATAGTTAATGAGGGCTAATACAAAGTCGTCATAGAATATAACTGCATGTGACTAATCTACCCAAAACACCATTGATTTCGTTTTGTGACCAACAACAATATGTTTCCTTCACCAAATACACAGATAGATATTAATTACAGGGTTGTATAAACCACGTCTGAAAAATAAATGCCATTTACATTCACGGTTAGAACCATATCGAGACTCTAGAATTAATCTACAGTGCGTGTCATAATAGGTGAGTTTCATGAAAAATATTTTTTTCATATCTCATCCTAACAAAACATTTTTTGAAACCCTCAGTTTTGAACAGGATACTTTGGGCTATCTATCCATGAAGAAAAATGGAAGTGTTCGTACTTGAAGTTTTGGATTTTAGGTCATGCTGGTTCTAATGGCGTTCTCAGTTTTGTCACATTGCTTATTGTCCGTTTAAAAAACAAATAACCCATGGCCATTTTTTTAATAACTCGGAAAAGCAAAGAACTAAAGAGGTGGGGTTTTCAGATATGGAAAGAGCACGCTATGGAGCATCTTTTCACAAGCGAAAATATTTTAGAAAAGCTTTCCCAAAGTCGCGCTTTGTAGGAATCTCTGAAAAACTCCTGTATAA